CAGGGCCGGGGCGCTCAGGGCACCCGAGGGGCCCAGGGCTGCGCTCAAGACCTTTGCTCGCCTCCTGCTTGCACACCCTGCATTCTACACCACACCTTCCTTTTTCCAGGCTGGGCTTCCCACGCCCACCTTCACAGAAGGCAGGCAGGAAGAGCGAGAGGACCATCTGAATCAGGTTAAAATTAAATTTAGCTTTTGGTATTAGCAGCAAAGAGCTGGGCCTCCGGGACACGATGCAGCCGTCGGTCAGACCAAGTCTTACAGGCACGTAGAGCCCAGCTGGCCCTGACACCTCCTTACCAGTAATTCAAACGTTGGCACCTAGGTCAAGTTTCTTAAAGCGGGATCCTCAGGACTCCTACATAAAGATTTCTAATGTTTTAATGTGTGTAACTATTAAGAGTAAATCTGGAGTTTTTCCGAATCAGAATCCCTGAGGGTGGGGGCAGGAGTCCACCTTTATAAGAAGACACCTGAGCCATTCGTTCACATTCTGAAGTTTGTAACCTACTGTTCTAATTCTCCTTGATAACCGGCATAATTCAAAATCCAAAGAACATACATTAAACAAATTAACATAAAACAAAACAAAACTGTTATACCCTCCTACTGACATTTACCACCCTTAAAAAAACATGGATAGATAGCTAAAATTCTAGGTTCTCCAGCCTGAAATGAGAGCAGAACCCTTTCACTTGCTATTTGCTAATGGAGCGTATGCACATTTCTCTTTATCTTGGTTTCTCTATATCTTCAGACAAGAATTTGAGAGAAGCAGTTTATTTGAAAGTGACTCCAGGGAATACTGGTAGGAGAATGGAGAAATGAAAAGCAGAGGTAAGGGCAGGAAGGAAACCAGTAAAAGGTGATTTGTGAAGTCAATTACCACTGTAGATAGCCGGAGTTTAATTCCACTTGGGAAGCTCTTATAGTCAAAGCAGACTAGGGATGGGCTTCCGACGTATCCCACGGGAAATGCAAACAAGTTGGTTATATTTACACTCCATCATCTGTCAGTCACCGATTAAGGGCTGCTCCCAGGGGACACTAAATCCCCAGATTGACCCTTGCACAGTAAGAAAAAGCCCTTCCGCAAAGAGTGAAGAGGCCACCCGTAGCTGGAAGGCAGACCACTGGCGAGCACTCTGGTGGAAAGGGTAAGGGCATTTGGGCCGGACTCTGGCGGTCTCTGTTCTAACCCACATGCTAAAAGCAATATTCACTCTGAAAGCCAGACTTTTGGACATTTTGTACTACAATAGACACAAACCACATGAGTAAGTGACCCTTAATACACCAAGTAATAGTTTCAAAAGGTGTGCTTTGTGAATTTAGATTTCTTTTCATTAAAGAATGTATCTTACAGAAACAATCTTCTTATGAGGCTATTGTAGTTGCTTTTTTTTTTCTGTTGCTACCCCTGTTGAACTACTAGAATTCTTGGTAGGGGGCCCCCGGGGCCATTTTACTGTCTCTTGGTTTGGGGAATTCCCTTTGGCTATTTTAAAAAATGTTTTGCTATGGAAAGTTTCAAACATACACAAAGTATGTGGATGAGAACCTCCTGTACCCACCATCCAGCTTCAGCACTTCTCAACTCATGACTGATTTTATATCCTCTGTATCCTCACTCACTTAGCTCTGGCTGAGTTATTATAAAATAAATCACAGACATCATTTATCTATAAATATTTTTGTATAGAGCTCTAAAAGATAAGAAAATTTAAAATGCCATCACTATATGAAAATTCAACAAGTGTTCCTTCATCTTATCAAATATCAACTAATTGTTCAAATTGGCAACTGTCTCATCAATTCCATATTTTTTACAGTTGCCTCATCAATTCCAATTTTACATTTTCGCATTTTTCTGTAATCAATATTGTTTTATATGTCTCTCAAGCTTCTCTAATAGGTTCTGCCTCCCTCTCTTATTTTCTTTGTATTGTATTTGGTTTAAAAAACTGGATTAAAATTTGCCCTATGGGGTTTCCCACAATCTAGATTTTGCAGGTTCCATCCCTGTGTGTCATTTAACATGCTTCTGTGTCTTCCATATGTCCTATGAATTGGTAAATTGGTTTATGATCTAGAGAATTGCCATATACAAGTTCAATTTTTCTTTTTGAATAAAAGTACTTAGTAGATGACATTGTGTTCTTTCAGTAAGAGGCACGTAATGTTTGTCTCTATTTGTGACATAAGCTGCTGTTGATAATGAATTCCTAGATTCCTTAATTCATTATAATTTGCAAATGGTAATAATTCTAATTCCACCATTGTTTCTTCCTTTATTAACTGGAATATTTTGATAAAGAGAGAAGTTGCTATTATCTAGTAGTACAATCTGCATAGTAAAAACAGCATAAATGGTTCATTTTAGTCCTTAATTTTTTATGATCCAGGAATTTGCAAAAGATAGTTCATTAGTAAAGATGTCTATACTCAGTTTCTTAGAAGGCCTTGCTAGGTAAAACTAATTAAAATAATAAAAAAATGGAAGGTTGTTCTCACCAGAAGGAATCTCATTTTCTGCTATTTAGTCCCTAATCATATTGCTAATATTCTAATCTACATATCAGGATGTCAAGTTGTGGTTGTGAGGAGAAAAAGATGCTATATTTTTCTATTTTTACCTTTTTGTTTATTAACTTGCATTTATTGAACTTATTAAATGTGAAAACAAATAAGCTTGGAAGTAAGCCACCCACACATATATAATTTCCTAGAAATCTGGAATTTCTGATTTATTATATGTGAAATTACATATAACTCTTTTTTCTTTTTAAATTACAGTTGACATACAATATTATATTAGTTTCAAGTGTACAACCATGATTAGACATTTATAGACCTTACAAAGTGATTACCTCAAGAAATCTAGGACCTATCTGACATTATATATAGTTATTATTGTGCAAGAGCCATATCCACAGAGCAGGACTCCATTCAGTGGGCCTTTGGTGCACAGTGAGTCCACCCCTTGAATGTGTTGCTCATGGAGGTAGCTGGGTTGTAATCCAGCAAGGTCTGAAACTGTCCAACAGATGCTCTGGCTCTTGGGCCTTTTGGGAGGTTCAGACCAAGGCTAGCTGCCCCCTGTGGCCTGCCCAGGGCCACTGGACATGAGCTACAAAGTGACCTACAGATGGCTGCTACTTGTGCTGGGCTTGGAGGTACCCAGGAGAGGCCAAGCTGGAAACCAAGCCTGGCTGCTGCTAGTACCAGGCCAGGGGCCACTTAGCAAGAGATATGGGATATGCACAGGCCAGATTCTGCTTGTTTGAGAGATTTTAGGAAGAAAGTCCAAAGCATGAGCCAAGAGAGGCCATTTGTATGGAAAAGGCTTGGGTGGGCCCGCAAGTTGAGTGGGGCATGATCTCAGGGAATCACCAGAGCAGGGTGCTCAGTGTGAGCCGGGTTGATGGAGACTCAGATATGACATCCACCTGCCAGCTCTGTGAAGGGAGGGCTCAGAAAAGGAACAATGACCTCTGCCAGCACTTCCATCTGGGAAAAAGCTGACCCTCCATCTTTTGCCCTGATGTCGGACAATTCAGTTCTCCCCATATGTCCCCAGCGCCTTTAAGCTACTTCCCCAGCACTGGAGCTCAGAGCAAGTGACACTGAGTGAGCCCGTGGGTGGGCCTTTTAAGAGGAATGCCTGGGACCCCAGCAGCCTTCTCTCTCGCTCAGCCACAATCCCCGCTGGTTTTTAATCCAGAAGTTATGGGGACTTCTCTTCCCGGCACTGGAAGCCTGGGCTGGGGAGTCTGATGTGGGACCCCTTTCCCCTCAGGGGGGACCTCCACAGCTGAGGTATCCCTCCCAATTTTTAGCCATCACATGTAGGTGTGGGACCAGCCCATTCTGTGGCTCTGCCCCTCCTACCACCAGTCTCAATGTGGCTTTTTTATATCTAGTTATAGGACTTCTGTTCAGCTAGATTTCAGGTGGGTCTGAATAATGGTGGTTCTGTCATTTAGTTTTAATTTTGATTTGATTGTGGAAGGTTCTGAGTACAGCGTTTACCGATGCAGCCATCTTCACCCAAACTGAAATTGTATATGAATTATAGGAAATTTTCCTTTGCAATCAAAAAGGGTTTAGTGGGGTTGCATATAGGAAAGGAAAAAACCTGCTAAATGTGGTTGTTTTCTACACTGATCGTTTATGTAGTCATTTTCTATGTGGTGTTGGGTTCACCCACAGTTTGGGGTCTTCTGATATTTGTATCTGGGCTTCTTTAGTTTTCATTACCAAGCCAGCAATGTCAGACATCAAGAGCTCTCCAGTGCAGTTCATGCCCTCCTCTCAGGACTGCCACAAACCCGTGCCCCTTCCATAGGAAATTCAATTCTGCTAAGCATTTCTTCACCTCTAAAAAAAGGGTACTCAGCAAGAGAAGAGGCTGCCAGATGACAGCCCATAGGCCAAATCCAGCTCACCACCTTTTTTTGGTGGCATCCAAATGAACAGGGATTTTACGTTTTAAAATGGTTTTACATTTTTTAATTGTTACGCTTTAAATGTTATGTAAGTACCTCCATAATATCTCTAATTTTGCCTCTTGGCTTGCAAAGCCTAAAATATTTAGTATTTAGCCCTTTTTTTTAAAAAAGTTCACCAATCCCTGGGCAACAGCAGTGGTTTTCAAATTATTTTCAGTAGTGGAACATTTTTCTAAAAAAGAAAAATAATCTTATACTCAACTGCTTTGCCTAAAACAAACAAATGCATATTTATTTAAATTTATTTAAAATTGTTAATAACTGCTCACTAAAAAATTCAAACAGGAACAATGCGGCTGCTTTGAGGAACACGATAGACTGAAAGAAGGAACAACGATTTTGACATTGGGGATTGCAGAGGACAATTGCTCAGAGAGGCTCCAGCCTACGATTTAGTCCCGTGGATGCTTTTGCTAGATGATTTCCAAAATAAAATCCTGCTCCAAGCAGATAAGTGGTTATAAATAGTAGCAATTTTTAACAACTCACCTTGCAATCTTAGGGCACTGAAATTAAACAAATCCAAATTCTGAAAAGAGAAGTAGAACATTTTAATTTTACTTACAACATAAAAAATAAGCTCTCAGTCAAAAATAGCAATCAGACAAGAAGCACCAACAACTTCAAATGAGGAAGTCGCCTCCCTGTTTTAACGCTCCTGGCGGCCTCTCGTCCCTGCCCGCTGACAGCTGTGCTGCGAGGAGCGGGTGAGTTCGCTGCTGCCGTTTTATGCGAGTGGACCTACGCGAGCTTGAATTTTAAAAAGAGTGGCCAAGCACAACCGCCCTCTTGTTCCCGGGGCCTTAACAAAATGTTCAGATACGTGCACAGCTATGACCGTTGACGCTCCATTCTGAGGTGCAAGCAAAACAAGGTAACTTGAAATCACAACGAGGTTCGTGTCAGTGAAACCTGAAGTGACATTTTTAAGAGATTAGAAAATAAACTGAAAATTGGATTGAATAAAAATTACTCTTGAAAATCCCTTACTTGCCCATAAAGTAGATTAGACAGGGTCTTGGATCTAGATCCCGGTGTGATATATTTTACCCATGTTTGAGGCCTGCTGACCTACAGTAAATAAAAAAGTATATTCAAATGTGTGGAATTCTGCCTTCAGGACAGCCTGTCCAACACTTGCGGCGACCAGAGAGCGGGCGGGGACTTCTCAAATGCCCCTGCTTTCAGGGTTTAACTGCTGGTGAAACACCTTAATACTTTGCAGGTGGTTGTACGGATCATGTGAGTTAAAGATGAACACAGAAGTTTGGGATCACAGAAGGTGCTTAACAAATATTTGCTATACTTGAATATGATTTTTAAATATATGTATATATTTAAACAAGGGATCAAATTTTCTCTATAGTTGTGTGTGTATGTGTACAGGAAACTCCAACAAGAGATAAAGCTGCCTATAGTTTAACACTTCCAGAGTTAAAACATACACACAGGCACAGACAGCTCTAAAGAAGAATTTGAGCCCTGGCCGGCTTGGCTCAGTGGTTAGAGCATGGCCCGCAGACTGAAGGGTCCGGGGTTCGATTCCAGCCCAGGGCAGGTACCTCAGTTCCAGGCTCGATCCCTGGCCCTGTCGGAGCCGGTGGGTGCANAAGGGTCCGGGGTTCGATTCCAGCCCAGGGCAGGTACCTCAGTTCCAGGCCCGATCCCTGGCCCTGTCGGAGCCGGTGGGTGCAGGAGGCAACTAATCGATGTGTCTCTCTCACACTGATGTTTCTCTCTCTCTCTCTGAAAAGCAAAGGAAAAAATATACAAAGAAAAAGAAAAATTTGAGCACTTGTTCTGGTCTTTGTGGGGTGGCGTTTGCACTTTTATGTCATGGCTCGTCTGGCCCCCTATTTGTTCAAGAAAGATTTCTATGTGCCTCCGTTCTAGGTGCTGGGGTTCTGTCGTTAAACAGAGCAAACCAAATTCCCCTGCCCTTGTTTCAGGGAGGTTACACGCTCGCTGGTGGCAGGCAATAAAATGAGACACATCATTAAATTCCACAGTATGTACGACAGTGAGAAGAATCTATGAAACATAGTCAGGAAAGGGCGTTAGGAGCTTGGAGACAGGGAGGCAATTTTTAAATGTGATCAGGAAGGGGCTCGCTCGGAAGATGGCACATGAGCAAATGCTTGAAAGAGCCGAGGAAGCAAAACACAGCAGTGCCCGCGGAAGGAGCGCAGCAGGCCGCTGGGGACACGTGTGGAGTATCCTAGGAACAGCGAGGGGGGCGAGTGGCTAAGGGCTGCGAGCCGGGCGATGGGGAGGGGAGGTAGCAAGGTAGGGGAGCCCCCTGGAGCGCCTTTCGGTGAATGTAGGGCTTTCGCCTGGACGGGTGGGAAGCCACTGCAGATGCTGAGCAGAGGGGGGCTGTGACCTCACTTGAGTCTTAATGCACATCCCTCCAGAATGGGCCTCACATCTTACGTGGAAGTTAGGATCTTAAATTAAGTTTTAATTCCCATTCCGTATCCCTTCACAACGTAACACTTTTAGGTTTACTTTCTATTTTCATTACAGAGTTAAAAATAGAGAAAGCCCTGGTCATTTTGGTTCAGGTGTTAGAGAGTCGGCCTGCGGACTGAAGGGTCTCGGGTTCGATTCCAGGCAAGAGCTCCATCCCTGGCCCTGGGTGCGTGCGAGAGGCGACCAATTGACGTGCCTCTCGAACATCGAGGTTTCTCTCTCTCTCTCTCTTCCACTCTCTCTGAAAAGTAATGGAAAATATGTTCTCAGGTGAGGATTTAAAAAAAAGAGAGAGAGAGAGAAATATGCTATTTTTAAGTGGAATTCCAATCCAGCATTTCCAGAGACAACCTTTAAGGCCCTTCGTGGACCCACAGAACATAGGCTGATGACTTCTGAGCTAAATGAGCTTAAAGACTCTCCCAGTGCCAACACTCTCCACCCCTCATTATCAGGGCACCGCAGGAGCCGGCCTGATTTCCATTTTCTAGCTGTAGGTATTTATGCCTGACCTTTTGAATCCGCTCTCCAGTTCTGAGTATTTATCCTGCATACCCTGCTAACGGTATCTCTGCATTCCTTCATCGAGCTGCCGTGTTGGGATCCTGCTGGCATCTCCTCCAACTCAGCTAAGACATATTCCATTAGCCGTTCTTCAAGATCGCTGGGGGCGATGAGATTTCTGATCACATGGTGTATTATCTCACTGTCTGATTCAAGCTTCAGATCCTAGTTAGATATTTATAACAGAACAATATTTTAAAGATAATCAGTGGTGCTTATCTTCTGTCTCTCTCCCTCTTCCTTCTATTTCAAGCTGGTAGCCAGGCCATTTGCATTTCCTTGCTCTTGGACTCTGCAAAGCTGGAAGCAGAGGTCTTGAGGAGGACACCAGCCATTCCCATCTTTTGTAAAAGTATTAGCTTGTGGATGAGATCTTTTGGCTAGCCTAGCAGATAAGGAGAGAGGAAGAGGGAGTCTTTTGGGGCCAATTAGTGAGAGATGGCATTTCTAGAACCTGTGAATGGGAAGATTTGTAGGTTCCCTGGAGTCCCTCTAGGTAGTGGCCTGTAGGAAGCCTGGACACAGTGGTTTCAGCCTCTCTAAGGATCTAGAGCACCCAGTAGAATAGAAGCAGAGAGCCACTGTGCCTGAAGGGACCATGCTACCATGCTTGAGGAATGATGGATGGATGCAGACTGTAACTTTAGCCGTATTCTAGATATTCGATGCTGCACACAGCCCTAAGATTTTAGATAACCATGGGGGGGGGGGGCATATCCCAGCAATGTCTTCAGTTTAATTTCTTACTTTCCACACCAAATGGAGGCCTGGAAATGGATTGAAGATGGCTTTGAAAAATAAAGAAATGTGACATGGTGTGTATATTGAGTACGTAGATTGAGGTTTACAGCATACATAGTCCCCCCTCCCTTAGGCAATCATGACCTTTAAACATATTAAAAAATAAGTTCCTTTCCCCAATAACATTTCTGTTATACACAGAATGTTAATCAAGTGCTTGCTGCTGCTTCAGGTTCTTGTAACTTCTGAACTTGTTTCATTAAACATGGTTCTTAGCAATCACATTTATTCAGCTGAAGAGTGTGAATAAAGCTGACGTTCATCCAGTAGAAATTTTCCACTCTTTGATTTTATACCCTCAGGAAATTGCAAGTAAGAGTTATGATGCATAGGACATTAAAATGTTTTTAAAAGATTAATTATCATCATACGCCGAAGGACTAGATCAGATAGTGTCTAATCTCATTCATTTAAGTATATTTAATCTTTTAAAAAGTGATACCAGACACGCAGAAGCAGTCTGAGAATGAAGAGAGCGAAGCCACTAGGAGGGCAAGAGATAGACCTGCTGTGATTTCAGTATCTGAATCCAGCAGTGTTTGGAAGCCTACTCCTAGATTTTATGCCATGTTTCACAAGCTAGTTTACAATAAATTTCTGTAATCACGACTAATATAATTTTCACGAAAAAATTGTTAAGTGTGCATTGAAGTCAGATCACATGTAGTCAAAGCCCGGCCCTTTTGCTTGCCAGCTTTGTGACCTTGGACAAGTCACTTCCATCCTTTGTGCCTCAGCTTCTTCCTCTGTGATAGAGGCATAATAGGAACACCAGCCTCCTCACGTGGGGAGCATTAATTGTGTGTGTGTATTATTGCACAAGGCCTGGTCCTTGGTAAGTGCTCAAAAAATGCAAGCTACTGCTATCATGTTAAACAGTGGGCACACTGGGGGGAAAAAATTACCTGATTGAGAAGAGATGCATTAAAACAACCAAGCAATAGTAAGAAATTGAAAAACAACACTAAAGCAAAGTAAAGGTAGAGAAAATATAGCACTCTGAAATGGAACTCCAAGAAAGTTGAAGAAATTCTTAGTAAAAAATAGGACATTAAAAAAGTGAAGACATAAATTTTTATATTTGATGACACCAGCAGCATAAAATCCATGAATCAAAAGTTGCCAACCAGTGGCCCAGACATTCTATTTATTTTATTTCTTTAAAATGGAGTCTTTGATTTTGGCCCTAAAACAAAAACTCTATGGATAGCACCAACTAGTAGCTATTCTAAACTGGCAGAATTTTTGTTAGCTATTTCAGTACTTTAGTTGTAAATTTTCCTTAATTTTTTTTTCCTGAGTGGTGTTAACAGAATTATATGAAACTTGAATATTAAGTTTCCAGTTTCCTGAGAATTTTATACACATAGAGCAGACATTTCTACAGACATGTTGTAACAGATATTTAATGGAATGTAGTTCCAGTCTGAGGCATTTAATTAGAGTTTGAGGCAAGTAAAATAACACATTAAAAATCAAATTATTCTATATTAAAATTGGAAAATAAATTATATGGCAGAAATTTTTATATTAAAATGATCATTTGTGTTAATATTTTATTGTTTCCTTTTCAATATAGCTACTCAATTCCTAGGCTTGAATTAAAATGTAAGAATGCAAACTGGATGAACAATAATATAATGTAAGAAAATAGAGCAAGTCCTCAACCTTTCTGACTATAACAAGGATTTTTTTTATTGCTGAAAACTTATAATTGCATCCACCTATTCTATAAATACTGTGCTTTTATTAAATCTTAAGATAAATTTTATTACTTTTTTTCTAAAATGAATCCAGTAAGAATGCTCTGGAATGGAAGTACTAGCAAAATATTATAAAATACAGCAAACTGCATAATTTTACATAAAATAAGTGAGTGAACCTACCTGAATATTATTGTAACTAATCATGTTTTATTATATCAATATTACCAAATAATTTAAAGAAATGTTTAAACAGTATAATCCCTACATTTCTCTGTTTGGAGTTCTATGTCTCCAAAATGCCTGTGACTTAAATTATATATAATTATGTGCACACAGCTACTATCATCAAGCTCTTTCAAATAAGTAGATAATTATCGTGGTATTAAGTTCACCCAAGGAGTCATAGATGTCCAAAGGATCAGGGGGAATTATAACAATAGCGCATTATCTTTTGTTTTAAACAGTGTCTTTCTATTAAAATCTCTACTGCATTAATATTTTCTTAATCTAAAATTAAACTTCCTACAGGGCTTGTCCTACCGTTCACTTTCTCCTCTCAAGTGAAATCAGGGTACAGGGGAAACTGCAGTCCTTAGGCGTGGGGCAAGGGTTTCCCCAGTCTTGTCTAGTGCGGTCCTTGTACCAGCCTTTGGCCTGGGAGCCAGTAAAAGTGCCTTTGATCTTTTTAATCTCGTCTCCACCAATCCTGTCACCCCCCTCACGGTGGAGAGGGGTCGGCCTGTAGGTGGTCTACCAGAAGCAGGTGAGAGCTATTCCGTTTTCCACTTTCTCCAGGACATGTCTAATAGGCATTCCCAGTGATTCCTGGGGCACTAGCCTGGGAAGGGGAAGCCAGGTCACAGGACACAGGACTTCGACTGTGTGCTTTGCCTGTCCCCGGTCAATGAGGGCAGCCTCTCCCTCTTCCCTCCCTAAGATAAGGATGGCCCTTACTTTATTCTGGGTTTGTTCTAGTCTTGGCTTAGGATAAAACTCTACGATCCAATCAACAAAGCTTGGCCCCAGATATGTTAATGAAATCCTCTTCTCAACAAAGCCTAATTTTCATGCCTATTTTTATATTATTCACTCAAAAAACCCTTTCTGGACATCAATGTTAAACTTTAACTCCGTCTTCCTCTTGGCATCCTCCTGTAACTATCAAAATCTGTGCTGAAGAAACAGAATGCTTGTGGAAGAATGAAGGGAGAGCAAAAGGAATTCTTCAAAGGCTAAAAATACACAAATGTATTCCCAAGTCTATTATTTACTATTCAATTAGAACAAGCCAACACTTTCTTTATTCAGAGGCAACGAATGGTCACACCTGTGTCGTTACAATCAATGACAGCGTCGGGTGAAATCTGTTTATGAAAGTTTATGGACGGGTATGGAAAATGACGTCGATTGTAATGCAAACTAACCACACCAAAATAAAAAAGGAGGAGAGCAGGGATAGCTCTGGCAATCGCCACCTGAAGATGCTGGAAGCTTAACTGTCCCCTTCGAGGGGATTCTCCTTACCGTCTCCTGCTCTCCTTGCTATTAGACAGCTTTATGTAGGAGTTGCCTTTAAGTGATACAATAGTCAGTTGGAGCCAAGACTAAATTTGAAGAATAATTAACAGCAAAGAAAGGGAGAGAGACTGTCCACCAGAGCTGAACACTGTGCACAAAAGGGAAGCCACATACTGAACCTGGCAAGCTCAGGGGGCCTGCACGGCGGCCTTGCAAACTCAGGGACCCAAAGGAACCACATAGACGGCCTGAACTTAAAACTTCCTAACTGAAAGCAGATCATGGCGGGAAGTCAGGGCCTGGGTCTGTAGCTTCCTTGACAAAGGTCAATCTTTACCTTAGCTGATCCTGGCTATTGTCTTTTGCATCCACAATAACCTACCTTTGTAATGTCAGAGTAACCCCCTTTGCCCTAACCCTTCAGGGCACAGTCTCCACCGGAGCACAGGCCACAGACCACAGAGCCCTCACTGTTATCTTGTTCCCGAACACCATCTCTGTGCTGTGAGTGTTAATTATTAATTATCCTGTACCCACAATTAAAAGATGTATGTGGCCCGGCCAGGAGTGACTCAGCGGTTGAGCGTTGACCTGGGATCCAGGCGATCAGGGTTCGATTCCCGGTCAGGGCACGTGGCCAGNCCCCTTCCCCCTCTCTCCCTTCCTTCTTTCCTTCATGATTGATTGATTTGAGAGAGAGGGAAGGAGAGTGAGAGAAGCATCGATTTGCTGTTCCAGCCGTCCACGCACCCATGGGTTGCTTCCCCTGCGTGCCCGGCCGGTGGAACGGGAACCCTGGGGCGCCGGGACAACGGTCTAAACAGCTGAGCTCCCCCGCCAGGGCCTGGACGTTTCTTAGGTCACAGTGCAGTGGCGATGGGAACTTTGCTTCCTCTTATGTGGGGGAAAGAGAAGAACATTCCCATTTGTATGAAGAATAGTTGCATTATGTTAGGTGGAAATATGGAATTTCCAATTTTTAACCAGAGTTTTATATGGATGCTGAGTAGTCAAAGGTTGATTTGCTACTGATTAAGCTATTCTCTCTCAGCTCCAAACCTCCTTCCATATTCATTTTGAGATATTAGAGCAGAAACGCTACAAATCGCATTGCTGCTGGGGGTGGCTCCCTGTGTCTCT